GTATTGTGGTTGTGACCTATGACAGATTTTGGAACCTTCTGGTCTGGGACGAACTTATCTGAGGTTTGAAAATGGTGTTCGGGTTATGGTTTCACTCTGATCTTTGATTTTCCAGGCCCTGACGAAGGCGATAATGCCGAAACATTAGCTCAATAAAACTGTTATATCATCTTGCTTACGGCTACAGCAATATCACAGAAATACTACATGACCTTTCATGCTTTGAGGATGTAGAGAATGCGCGAACTGGGATATTGGGAGATTGCTCAAAAAGGAAAGTGTACGATTGATCTGAAGAATCCGCAAGTCTGGAGAGTCGTTAGATGGGAATATCTTGATGTCATGTCGGTTTGCCAGAATTACCTTGCTTTGCGAATGAGGAGTATTCTCCTCATTCGCAAAGTATGAACGCGACTTACGGGCGGAATGGTCGTAACATGAGCTTTATTGGTCCTCCCCGCTAGCTGACCTCTAGGAAACGTTTTCTGAGAACCGTTAATGTGCAGTCCATCCGATATCGGCAGTCTGTGGAATCATGGTCAAGGTCCATGAAATTAGGAGGCGCTGTTTGCAGCATGATCTCAGAAAGAGAATGACGGGCAGTACATTTCTTTCTGTTTAGGATATTATCGACGAGCATTTCAGATTTCTGTGGAAGGAAAAGCCTTTCAAATCAAGTTGAATCGTCCGAAGAAGTTTAACGCAATTACTGTGGATATGTATAAGGGTATTATGGCTGCACTGGAGGCTTCTAACAAGGATAGATCCACTTCAATCACAGTCATAACTGGTCAGTTGTCGTTCACTCACTTCTAGATGAAAATTCCCATACCGTCCGTTTAGGCACCGGAGATTTCTTCTGTTCCGGAAATGACCTCAGTAATTTTGCGAAAGCTGCCTCTGCTAGTAAGGAAGAAGTTAAAGGAGATGGCTGAAAGCGCTGCTCAAGTTCTGAAGCAATATATCCAGGTATTTTTCAATCAGAACTTTATACTTTGGCTTATTTCCGTATTATCACTTCGTGAGTTTCTTTCCTCTCCCAAATCGATAACGCAGGCATATATCGACCATGAGAAGCCCCTTATCTGCCTGATAAACGGTCCTGCTGTAGGCATCGCCGTCACCGTACTGCCACTGTTCGACTACGTCATCGCAACGGACAGGGTTCGGTAATTGCTTCGGTTCTGATGTGAGTTACGTGTCGCAGCACCCTTCATTTTCTCAGTTCAGAGCACGTTCCACACTCCATTTTCTACGCTTGGTCAGTCTCCAGAAGGCGCGTCATCCTACACCTTCCCGATCCTGATGGGACAGCTTCGGGCATCAGAGGTGAGCCTATAATCAAAAGTAAGATCAAGTTTTAAGGAAGTTGATGTGAAATCACGATTTTTAGTTCTTGATTCTGAACAAAAAGTTCTCTGCTCATCAAGCACTTGACGCGGGACTTATAAATGAGGTCAGTTGTGGAATTCTTTAGTTTTACGTGATCGATCGAGCGCTAGTCTAATAAACGAGGAATTTTGGTACAGAGCACAGGGTACAACATTGGGATTGAAGGAATGGCAGCATCAGGTGAGTCCCCCGAATTAGGTTCCACCGGTGCGACCTCCTTCCATATTCCACCTTCCATCTTCCAAAGTTTTCCTCAAGATTCCCCATTGTTCCTCGAAAAAAACCGACGTTGAGTGGAGGGGGGGGTCTCCAACACCTGTTCCAGCAGTGCTTTAGCCATCAAAAACTATAGTTGCCAGCTAGTTGCAACTAGGGACAGGGGCTGGATACAAAACACACATGAGATGGGAAAAACTGCGAGAAACCATCGATCGAGGAAATTTTCCTCGGTCCCTGGAAACCACGACCAGATTCGACCACCATCGACAAATCCTATGGAGGGGGAGGGGGCGGTCGCACGTGGTCCCTCACTACGATGCTGTTCCTTAGCAGAGCAGTCTCCCTGCATCCAAGGACGCGAATGAAGGAATCAGATCACTCACTGAGGAGCTCGTGCCACTGTCTGTTTAGGCAGAAGTCTTCATTCTTAGTGGCTTACAACCCTTTCATACTGTACCAAAATGCCTCACCTTATTGGAATAGCACCGTCAGTGCCCATTGTTTGTTTCCGAATTAACTGTGGTCTCTTAAAGATTGTTCCACATGATGAATTTGAAACAAGGACTGCAGCGTAGTCAAGCAGCACTCATCTCTGCCACCGGAAAGTCTGCGAGTTAATAAGATGCTTCTGCGGTCGTTCCACAAAGAAATGCTCACAAAAGTCAACGAAGTGGGTTTTGACAACTTAATGTGCAGTTTCTTCAACTGATTTCTTTTAGGAAGATTATCGTGATCCGTTAGCAGCTCCAGTAATTTACAGTAACAACTAACAAGTATAGTCTAGTTCTCTGCGGACAAAGGGGCGTGTCCGGCGCGATGAGTTTGGCGCGGTGCCAAATACGTTCTCCACCACTTCTTGAAACAAGCAATTTTTGAGGCTGTATAATATCGTTCCGTATCACTTGTTTTCTATCAACATTTGTCACACAATCCGCTTCAATAAAAAGCAGAGGACGGGTTTGGCGCCGTCTGCACTTTCGTACTGGTATAGAACACATATGAATGGATTTTCGAAAGAAAAGCGGTCTAACGAGATAATTCAGTTTCCACTCCACCCATGCACTTAGGCAGCGTTTAGACTTCGTTATGACGCGTTACGACCCGCTACCATTGTAATAGCGCTAGTCTTTTGAAAGTACAGAATACCAGCAGAATATGCGTTGCTTAATCTTAGGGTCTGGTATTGATGGGCGCGCGGGACGGCTAGTGTTTTTTGGAGAGGATGAAAGAGTAATAAGTCATCAGACTGAGTGGTTAGGCAACGCATGTCTTCCTGTTCTCGTGCACTCTCCCTCAAAACATTAACGGCCCGATCTATACCCTCTAGGGTATATGAGAAAGCAATTGTGATATCCTGCGCTGATGGGCATGGCGGGCGACGTGGTCCCTACTTGACGCATTGTCCTGCCGTGAAAGTTTTGAATTTGAGTGTCCTAGAACGGATTGGAAAGTTCTATATAGCCCATAACGGAGTCCTGTCTCCGCGTTGTATTCGGACGAGTTTCGCTGTTCCAGTCGGCAAGCTGGTGCGCATAGAGGATTTGCGCGCGTCACCGCACGATACGCCGCGAGCGGCGATGCAACAAATTATGATTGTCTTGTCCATTTCTCACCCGTCCATGGCTGCGTTCCGATTCATAGCGGTGGGGTGCAATTAGAATCGTAACGCGTCGACGAGTGTCACTGGAAAGTCTGAACGCTACCGTAGACGCGAACTACAGCAGAGATATCCTCAGTCTGAGCTCATCAGTAATAGGAAGGAGTGATAATGAGCTTATCAGTAATAAGAAGGAGTGATAACGAACCTCACTAATGATGATTCTATAAAGATGATTTCTGAGTAGTTAATTATTTCAGATAGAGTGCAAAACGATATGTGAACGCTGGCAGTCGAAAGAATGCGCAGCTGCTATTGCTGCTTTCCTCAGCCGTTCAAAGAAATAAGTTTTCCATTTGTCGTAAATGCTCAATGATAGGTGACTCTTATAATTAATGATTTGTATAAGAAAGAGGATTTTAAAAGTGATATGATAATGTATTTCAAATCGTTCTATATTTTCTCATTAGCTCAATGTCTGAAGGAGAATCAACACTGAGTGCACATTGCCATTTTCGAAATAGTTTTCTGTAGATCTACGGTCATACAGGATAGTCTTGAAATAAGTTTTTGCTAAGTGCAGAAGATACCTCTTACCCTGACAGGTCGTCGTGTCCGTCAAAAGTTGTTCGTATGAATGTTGAATCAATTCGCCTATAACAAAATTGCCTTTGTGAGAGATTTGGCCTTCCTTCTTTTTTATTCAGATTTCTCAAAGTTACTTCTTGTTTAGCTCTCAATACTTCTACCCCGTTCTCCCGTTCTCTGCCAGATTGCCTACTTTTTTTGAAGAGCCAGTTCTTTGTTTAAGGACGTGAATACAAAAATAAAACAACTTTTGAGTGGCCTGTGTCGTACCATATTTCCAGAGAGGAGAAAAAAAAGTGGTTTGAAATAGCCTAAAAAGGATGAAGGAATAACAATGAAAGTTGCAGGATAGTCGCTTGACATGTTGATTGTGGAGATAGTACAAGCAGGAGGGCAGGAGGTAGGCTAGGGATACCATACCGATACCAGGAGTCATTTTTGGTCGCTGGAGAGAAGGAGGTCGTATTTGTTCTGGGCAAAAAAATTTTGATTGTTGCTTCTATTACTGTAGGCCACTGCTCATTGCTCCCCGCCACATAGGTGGCGTCACCGCAAAATTGCTGTTTCTCAAGGCTGATCCGAGATGGCTGCCTACCCTCGCTCGGTCGGCGGCAGGGAGAGCTAGTAAAGTCGTCAACCGTTGTGAAAAAGGTCGTGCCGGGAAAGGAGTTTCGGAGAAGGGGTCGCGTTTAGCGGAAGTTTGCCAACGCCAGGACAATGCAGGATAAGCGGGGCGTAGTTATGAAATCCCATGCACTGCGCTGAGCCAGACAAGCAGAGTAAGTCCTAGCCAGGCGACTTGATTCGGTGTAGCATTACCACGCTGAGTGGGTCGGCTCCTGGTGCAAACGACTCCGCAGGTCAGTCCTTTTTTTGTTGCCCTCGCTGCCGCTCGGATGTGACTGCATTCATGGTCAGATAAACGCGCAGACCAGTTCCCAGTAAGTAACTACCCGTACAGGTAGTAACTAGTCAGAACGTCGGGGCAGCTCCAGCGCTCGTGATAGCTGTTCAGAGGGAGCGGAGATCTCGTGCCTTTATGCTGCCGTGCTCGTTCGTTGTACCTGCCTAGAGGAGGAGGGTTCCAAGATGCACGACACTTTGAGCTAATCGGAAATTTGACCCCTGGACTGTGTGCGTAGTACGCAATTTCTTTTGCCAGTATACGCCTCCATCCAGGTGCCTAAATGGAAGGGTTATGCAGTACCACATCACAATAGCAGGTTAATTTTAAACCACAGGAGTTTCCAGTTCCGCTGACGGTCGTTTTGGCCTACCGCTATCGTTGTGGATTCGATGTGAGCCGAAGGGTTGTCTGGACGGCCCAGGTTCTGGAATCGGATGCCGGATCGCTCCTAGCCTGAGCCAAACGAACCTTCCAACCCTCTGGAGCTCGCACTGGTACCAGGAAGGATAAACTATGGACTTGAACCTTAAAGTTGGCTGGTCTTTGCAAGTCATTGTGAAGGCAGGGTCTCTCTGGAAAAGCTACTGTGATTGTGAACTGATAGAGATGACTTTCTCTTATCGCATCCCTTATCACATCTACAAACCGATACCTCGAAGTAGTGGTGCATGTGGTTCATTCATTACTAGTAATGTCCTGTAGGATGTTGTTTAACAGTTAAGGTGGGTTCTCCGTCTATGTGTGCATTCAAGGACTGCTTGGAAAGACGAAAACTCAATGCACATAAACGCACTTCCAGATTTTTTACTCACATATCGTTGTGCTCTCAATGTATACATATCGAGGGTACCGGATAGCTCCACTTCCATCGCAATCACAACCACCACCTGCTCCACCTGCTCAACAGGAATTCTTTCTACCTCTTAAGGTGGGTAATACGAAGAGGATTTTCTCTTTTTCCACAACACCCCGACATACTTCGGGGTGTTCCACCGTCTACATCCTTTTTTGTTTCTTTCTGACCAAGGGGGATCGAATATGTAGGCAAATGCATGAAAGGTAAGGAAAAGGAGGATCGAAGTTTGAAAGGACCTAAATACGAAGATGCTAAGATCACGTTTGCGAATGTGGTCTCTTACAGGCACGGAGATGACATCGACTTAAGGAGTGAGTTCCGTCCAGATGAATCAAACAACACTGATCCTGCACTGCCATGTGGGAACGGAAGAACTGCAAACGCTTCGCGAAAACTTCCAAGAAAGTTTCCCAA